ACACCACCAAAGTAATTTTTTGCTTTCACCAGTATTGTATATCTTGCACCAGTTGGCCTCAATATGTCTAACACAATATCTATGGTGTGATTGAGGAAGGACAGTTCTAACAGCATCAATTAACCCCTATGACAGTTATATAAACATACATTCACTTATAATATTTCATAAACAACAAAAAGGCAGAATTAAATGCAGATTTACAGCCAGAAACATACAATCACTTAGAATTTTTCATATACAACAAAAAGGCAGAATTAAATGGAGACCATGGACAACACTATAGGACATAAATATATGACAGAATTTAATAGAAAAGGACAAAAATATATGACAGAAATAAATAGAAAATGACAGAAATTGATAAAGACAGAAAATTAGGACAGAAATAGAAGAAGACAGAAAATGAAAAAGACAGAAATAGAAGAAGACAGAAATAGAAGAAGACAGAAATAGAAAAAGACAGAAATTAATACCTTTTGCATGTCTGACATGAAGGTAATTCCTTCCCCATCCTTGAGGTCTAGAGAATGTTGAAGCAACTGCAAGAACCAATTCCATGTATTCTTTGTCTCTTTGTCAACAACTGCCCAAGCCAAATGATAGAAATGGTTCTGTGAATCTGGTCCAACAGCCACTAGTAGTTGGCCCTTAGCTTTCCCCTTTAAGAAAGTTCCATCTAGACCAATAAAAGGTCTCAACCCTAGCTTGAAACCCATTTTTAAAGCTTGAAAGCAGATATACATCCTTAAGAATCTTCTTCTCCCTTCTTCAAGTGCATTCTTTGAAAGGTTTATAACCACATCACTGCCTGGATTACTATCTCTCAATTCAGTTGCATAAGCTTCAAGTTTGTTATACTCATCACTGAAACTACCATCTAAGCTTTCCAAGACCATTCTCTTTGCTCTCTTACACTTTCCATGACTAATATTTAGTTCAAAAACCCTCTTCAAATCTGCCATCATCTCCTTTACCTTATACTTAGGATTATCTTGTAATTTAAGCTTGAAATACTATGCAATAGTACTGAAATCAACAGTATTGTTATCAAAAGCAACACCACAACTATGTTCTGCATTTAAGGTCTTGATCTTAACCCCACCATTCCTCTCTTTGGATATCAAACACAAAAAGGGACAGCCAAATATATCACATTTATACCTAAGCCATATTTTGTCACTCTTCAATAACTCTAATTTTTTCTTGTTTGCCAAAGCATACAACTTCATACACTTCCTAGCTTCTGGTATGTCCTTAAAGCTCATACCCTTATACAACTCTTTGTACTCATTAAGTTCTTCAGTTATCTCCCTCTTTTTTTGTACTTTCAAAGTTTCCAATTCTTCAGAATCATAACCTTCTAATTCAGCACTAGAATCAGATTCTAAGTCACTTAAGCTACAGTCAGTACCAGCCTCATCCTCGTGGGTGTATGATTCTTTATGGTGTACAATATCAGGGATACCATGAATAGGGGGCTCACATTCATCCACAGCATAAATATTAACAACATTATATTCATCACATATCAAGCTAAGTAATTTTCTAATCCCAACATCCCCATCAATCTCATAAAATTTGCCAGAAGGACAAGCAACAATAAGCTGCTGAACCCCTACAAATCCTAGCTCATTTATATATTCATTCACTATGTCTATATATGAAAGTAAGTCTGAGTCATAACCTGTCCAAGTGTGCACCAGTTTCTTTGTGTATAAGACCTCAGGCTGTGTAACCCAATCACCACCATAATTGAATATTATATCTATTAACACCATCTCCAATAACCTACAAATATAGCCAATAGGTCATGTTAGCAAAGAATAAATAAACAAATAAAAAGGCAGAACTAAAAAGGGAATAATTATATTAAAAAAGGCAGACCCCATTTAGCTATGTCATACCACCATTGAAGGTGGTCCTACTCACAGTATATTTATCACCTAATAAATATAGAAGAAGTCCATATCTTGAAGGTGGTCCAGATTCAGGCCCACCCTATAATAAATTAACTAAAAAAATCATTGAACGTGGTCCTACACACATAATACTATAATCAGAAAGTAACAAATTAGGGACAAATTTACCTATTAAACAACAGAAAAAGCTCAGAATATTGGGACAAACAAACACCCTAAACCAGCTACCAAAACCAAAACCATGTCGGGACCAAAATTAACTTCACATCGGGACCATATCAATAATAAAGCATGCAAACACCTGAAGCGGACAAAAAATGTGAATATAATACTGAAAGTACAAAAATAAATGTGTGGATGTCAACAAAACACAACAAATCAAAACCCTAGGCGAAAAACCCTAAAATAACAGCAAACACATAAAATACTGAGCAAAAAAGAGTTAAAACAAGAAAAGCGAACCATTTCCATGGAGAAATATATTACCTTTACTTCATTTGCGGTGGATATCTCACGATTTTTCTTCTGTCGATGGAGGCTTTTAGAGAGAGTGAAAGAGAAAAAAAAGAAATGTTATTTTGTAGGTTTGACCCTTAACCCGTGTTTTCAGGTTTAGAAGGGTGGGTCAATTTAGTGGGTCGGAGCGGGTTTGGTTTTTAAGAGAAACGGGTTCTCTTCAGCTTTTAAATGCTGCCACGTGTCTATGCCGTCTAATTAGGGGCATTTTTGTTTAATAGTGTAACGGTGAGGGGTTTTATGTCCCGATAGTATAACGAAGGATATCTTTAAACAATTGTTAATAGTAGAGGGACATATTTGACCCTTAACCGTTAATTCAAACAACGAGCCAAGCGCGAAACACCCAAGAAAACATAACTAACAAAAACACATGCAATAACATGAAAAGAACATCATTTAATAATTCAGAAGCTGGTCTTAATTCAAGCAATGAGTCGCCCTATAAAACATAACAAGAACAAACGCAACAATGTCTTCTATATAGTTGATACTTGATACACCTTAAAGCTTGTCACAAGTAACTCCTGCTGGTACATTTCTTTTGTCTTTTCTCCACTGGTCGCGAGAACTGCTGAACTTAGGGCTGTGCACGGATCGGATCGGATTTAGCACATTTCGGATTCGGGTTTCAGATTCTAGAAAATGCAATCCGAATCCGATCCGAATTATATCGGATCAGATCGGATTTTAAAGTTTGGATCGGATCGGATTTCGGATTGTATTATTATACCTCAAAGTTGCAAACTAATATGTATATTTTCTTTGTAAAAGAGGCAATACATTAAGAAAAATTCTTGTTTATGCAATTATGAAAGTACTATGGTGTCAATATAGCTAAATCTAGCAATTGTAAAGGTAATAACTTGGAGGAAGATGTAAAGGAAGTACTGACTATCCGAAATTAAAGTGTAGTATTTATACATGCCCTAATAATTTCGGATTTCGGATCGGATTGGATTAAAATATACCAATCCGAATCCAATCCGAAATCTGAAATTTTAATACACACAATCCGAATCCAATCCGAAATCTGAAATTTTAATAAACACAATCCAAAATCCGATCCGGTCCGAAATTGAATGGATTGGTTCGGATATCCGATCCGAATGAACAGCCCTAGCTGAACTGAATCATTAGGCAGACTCCTGCATAGTCCGCATCCTGCATCAACCACAATGGAAGTTTCAATTAGGCATCTAGCAACACACAATAAACATATGCAAGAAGGGATAAGGATCCGAGAAAAGACTTTACTACACTGAAGATGCAAATAAGTATTCATATCTTAAAGTCTTTATCCAGTGTCAATGTAAGTGAAGTATATATACCAAAATAGAACAGTATGTCCATACACAATTCTTCATTGCATCATTTGGGAAAAGGAACTGTGTAATCGATGAAGCTTTCTTAAACTCCGTTGCGTATAAGAACTATAAAACCAATGGGTCATACAAGAATGAGAAATAGAAATACAACTGCTAGGATCCGCAAGTCGTGGCTCTCTCATCTCTGACAATAAATACAAAAAATCATTGAATAAGCTTGAGCAAAACCCAACTGCAAGGATCCACAAGGTTGGAAGTTCCTAAACATAATAGTTTCAACTGGTCAACAAAGAGGAACAAACTTGTTTAAAGTGCTGGAGAAACAAAGTATGATTTTTTCCCTCTACTTCATTTACAACCAATTTTAACTATGAAAGGAAACTAAAGGAATGATAGTGAAAGTTAATCAAGTAAGTTGAACTTTTAGTATCGGGCAAACATGCAAAAGGTGAGTCCTGATTAAACTTCAACCAAGTAAAAGTGAATGGAAAAAGTATCACATGGGCATATTAGAAGAACTGACATCAACTGGTCGTATTAACAGTAAAATTGGATATGCACATGGTCGTGAGGCAACAACAGGAGTTGGAAACCGCCTTACGTGATATGAACCATGTCATTATTAGTAACGAAAATTTATCCATGGAGACCAATTTCTAAAACCTAAAAATTTTCACTTACATGACTATGAAAACAACCCATTAGAATTAACACATTGCTTTACTACAACTAAAGAAAGCTTGAAGGCACCAACCAACATCTAATGAGAGGTGCAGAGCAGCCATGGCAATATCATACTTCCCAACTTTGTACAGGCTCATATACATTATGGTCTTATCGCTTATCTCTTCTTGCGCAAGATTAAGCATGTTAGTTATATTACCTATGGGGACTGTTGTATACCATTGACCCTAATTCATTGTTCGAGGCCCACTCAACAAAATTTTATGCTAAGGCACCAACAATAGCCTATAAAGGGATGGTCTGAATAGATATAGAAAATAAAATGGGAAAAAGAAAAAAACTTGAAGAAAGCTAAATTTCCAAACCTTTGTGGCGACTATGTGGATTCCACACATATGTATAGTGCAACGCCAAATGGCACTCATACCAGGTCTTCCTTTCTAGAGGTACTCAATTGCTCTGTGTCACCTCTTGGATGGTACCAATAGAATCAATATATAATATTGTACTGTTGTGAACATACCAAAAGAATCTACGTGCAATACTGCAAAAGAGAAAGAGCTTCAAATCAAAAGAAGATATCTATAAGACCAATCCTCAACCTACCATCCGTGTCCATGCCTTTTCTTCATGAGCTGCCTTAGCCAAAGAGCAGTAAAGAAATAGTAAACTTTCCTATTATGCTCTTGATTTAGGAAAATCGAGTAGAAGAATCTGACAACCTCTTACTTTTCTAACCTTAAATTTGCTCCAAAGAACATTGGCCTTCTTGAAGAAGTTTATTGGGATTAATACATTAATGCTAATGATTCTTAAAGTAAATGCACCTACTGGAACAACACAGTTTGAAACCAAAAAAATGTCTAAGATACCAACAGCTAGAAAATAAGAATGGCGGCCTTGTGAAGGCCTGAACAAAGTTGAATGTAACGAATATTCTTAAGTCCAATCTTTTCTCGTCATTTCCTTCCTCTGCAACTTAAATGGAATTTAACCAAAACCATACAATCTAGGAGAAGAGAACTCCTCTTTCCAAACCCTAAAACACTCTTGTATGAGGTTTTGAGATTAAATTAGAAGCCGTATATGCGAGCTAAATTATGGACCTCTGTTCTGCAACTGGCTTCAATTAACTGCCCTTCAAAATATGGAGCAATCTATATAAGCTGCATTTCTGACCTCATTAGATCCAAAACCTCGTAAATCTGTGTGGACTCATTGTGAGAACCATCCTGGGAATAAAATGAATGGAGTTGGTTTCTCACTTCAATCCAACTACATCCCCTGCTTTTCCTCAGTCCTCTTTCCTTCATTTGTTTTCTTGTGCAAGACATCCAACCATCTGCCAGCTGAAGCATAAACATTTGACAGCAATGTATATCCTTCGGGATGCTTTTCTGCCAGCTCTGAAATCTTTTCGGCTACCCTTTCTTCCATCCTCTCATTTCTATATGTTTTGCAACCACTTAAGAGAGCTGCCCAGGCTTGAACTTCTGGTTCACAAGGCATGTCCAAGATGAACTTCTCTGCTTCAGAAAGGCGTCCTGAACGAGACAGCATGTCCACTACACAGGTATAATGTCTAGCATTCAGTTGTATATGATAGACCTTTTCCATTGAATTGAAGTAATGGAGTCCTTTGTCTACAAGACCACAATGGGAACAAGCAAATAAAACTGCTAAAAGAATAAGCTCATTAGGTGCAATGGACTTCGTCCGTTCAAATACAGCAAGTGCTTCCTCTGCAAAGCCGTTTTCTGCAAGCCCTTGAATCATAGCTGTCCAGGAAATCTCGTTACGTTTGGGCGTCCTTTTGAAGATTTTCTCAGAGCTTTCAACATTACCCGATTTGGCATACATATCTAGAAGGGCAGTGTCCACAAAAACATCAGAGTGAAAGCCAAGTTTAATGACCTTACCATGCAAGTTCTTCCCCCTTTCTAATGAAGCTAAGCTCGCACAAGCACATAAAACACTAGAGAAAGTAGATTTATTTGGTTGTTCTCCAGACAGAAGCATGTCACTGAAAACTTCAAAAACTTCATCAAATTTTTCATACTCTAAATAACCTGTTATTAGCGAATTCCATGAGATATAATTTTTTGGGGGTATCTTGTCCAATAGCTCCTTAGCTTCTTCAAGTTGGTTATTGAGGCTATAACCACTGCCCATTGAATTCCAACAAACAACGTTCTTCTCCAATATCGAGTCAAATGCTACACGTCCATCCTTAGAGCTTCCACATTGCAGTACAGGTCAACCAGTGAGCTACCTATGAAAGCATCTTGTTCAATTCCAATTTTTAAAATATGTCCATGAACAATCCTTCCCGTTATCAAAGCTTCAAGGCTCGACAATGCACTTACTACGCTTGCTAAACACAACTTATTCGGTTTAAACCCCTGTTGGACCATGCAATGGAAGAGATTCACCAGAGCTAGGAGACTCAAGGAGACATCTATTTACCAGAGCTAGAAGACGATCCTCAGCTCCATCTCATGGCAACCTCAAAGCTACTCAAACCTTCAGCAACTATATCCAATAAACCCCTAAACACCGCGTCTGGCAGCCACATACACCAAACTTTCACAAATTTAAAGTCAGGATAATAACAGCAGACTTAGATAGGCAACCCTGAAGAAGGCACCTATCACTCATTCCAAACATTGCTTCTGCACGCATATTTTCAAAGTTCATTGGAGAAAGGCTTGAAGCTTTCTGTTGGCTTTTTCAGAAAGATACGAGATAACAGATAAGATATCTCTTTTTCCTATATTTTTAGGAATCAAATTGGAAAAACATCAATAAACAAGAGAAAAACATATACATTCTCTAACTTCAAAATAGGCTTGAGGTCATTAATCTCTGCAGCATTTTAAAGGAAAATTGTATTAATCTATTATTAATTTTGCACATTGTATAACTTGGAATAATGATATCAATCTCATGATGCGCAAACTATAAAGTCCAAAATAGATCTGGTTAGATCAATAGAAACTATAGTGAATACTTTAGACATAGACAGTTCAATTGGAACAGTTAGATAATCAATTTTTGAAGAGTAACATTGTACAGTTAAATTTACATTTAAAAGGAACACCGTTAAAATTTGATTGAGTGACGGAACAGCGAGGAAGTGGCTCTGGTGTCAAACATTTGTTACTTGATTACCCTACCCAACTTATGTCAAAAGGAAATTCAATCAGAAATCATCTCTAGATTGGTCCTACTTTAAACTCTAAATATGATAGAAGAGTACTTGAAATACACAATGGCCATAAACGCGTTGTTTGGATGGTTGTTTCCGGTTGTATTGTATTGTATTGTTACCCTAGATACAATGTTTGTTTTGATTGTTAATATAAGACTGATTGTATCGTATTGTTAAATCCATTGTTCCGTAACAATGAAAAACCCCATTTTATGAAACAACCAAATCGATGTGGTGGGATTGTTTCGTATTTTGCTTTCCAATTATGCCCACACTTATTATTCTATATTTCAATTTTACCCTTTACCCTATTATTTATATTATATTCACCAAACTAATAAGTACTTTATCTCCATCTTCTTTCTGCCAACGACGGTATCGTCTCTTTCCAACAAACTTTTTACAGGTTAGTTTTCATCTCTTTTCTTCCCGTTGTTGTCAAACTTCATCTACCTAGCCAAACCCAATTCAATTCTTCATTCTCTTTTTTGCTATTCATGTGCTCTATTGCTTGTGATTAAGTCGTAAGTTTTTTTGGCGTCACATATAGGAGACTGCATATTGAGTGTATTATAGCTATTGTTAAGAATTACTAATGATTCACCAAATCTTTTATGTTGAACTACTTCAGATTGCTAATGGAGCGTATTTGTCTGCTTGTTTTTTCTGTCAATTATTTGGTATTACTGTTGTCACTTGCTTAATGGTTTCTTATTGAAACAATCGATTCCTATTTTTCCTACCTATCTAGAACTCCTTGCAGCTTATTTAAGGTCATTTTAAATTTACCTGGTGTTTCGAAATTTACAGGTAACAAAATGAACCAACAAAAGTAACAAAATAGAGGATAGAACTAACCTTGAAATACGTGATTACCTCAAATGGGTCCAAAATTAAGGTTTGAAAGTCGGTCATTCAATTTCGCAGAATCTCTATTTTGAAAACTTCTTCGAGTTTCCACATATTGAAGCTGATCTATTAAGTTGTCGAAATCTAACTACTACTACTACTTAAAAAAACACAAGTATTAATCGAGTGATACGCGAAGGAAAAGATCAGGTGATTCCAGAGGCAAAGAATAGAGGAAGAGTGAGAACAAGAGCTGGAGCAGAATGCTCTAGAATCTACATGAAGAAAATAATCGAGAAGATAGATAATTTGCGCAATGTGGCAGTCTACTTACAGATTAAGAGACACGCATAATATCCAGTACTACTAAAAGTCTAAAATGCCCTTGATTTGAAATTTATTGCCTTTAAGCACACACGTAGAAACTCTTCATGTTTCTATATAATAGAAAATATGTATAGTGCCAAATTCAAGCATGAATGACACCGGAGAGCAACCAGCAAGCTCATCCATCATGGGAAAAAAAAGAAAGCATTCTTGATGTTGACAAGAAAAGCTAAATACAATACCCAGCAATTTCAGCTGCAACCCATGTGATAAAAATCATTGTTAATTTGTGGTAATGAGTAAACAAAGACAGTAAAACTCATTGTTATACTGCAATGGTCTCAAAACAAAACTGTTGAGGAATAAACAAAACTTATAAGTTATAACTGTTGGAGGTACATATTCTGAGTGAACACATGAAGGATTTTACAACACTAGGAAAAATTGTTTAAAGAAGAAAAGGATAATCTGAAATGCAGCTGAGCTCTCCCAACTCTCCATCAGCTGAGTGGAGAAACTAAGCACCCTGCAGTCGACATTTGTAGTTGAAATGCTATTACTAACTCCCAAATATCAAAGTACTCATGAGCACTTGGATGCTTGAGTTGCGGGAGAGATAATTGACCATTATCATTTATTACTTTCACGCAGCGGTATAGTATCACTCAGCAGCCAGACCCGACTAAATCAACAGGCATTAGCAACAGATTCTTTCTACATAACAAAGCCTAGCTAAGCTTCATAAGTATTGTCACTGACGGAGCTGACATTTTCCTGTTCCAGCACAAACTGAACACTCGTCTGCTTTCCCAGCAATATGATTTAAGCAATGCTTGATTCTATCATTCACAACATCCTGTAATAACAATCTTCTAGAATTAGAATTTTAACCTACTAGCTTTCCATAAAAGAATTTCAATGAGAAAAAATTTGGCTGTTTTTAAATCAACCTTCTAGGACTAAAGATTCAGCCTAACAGCTTTAGTATGGAAGGATGTCAATGCAAAAACATCTGACCATCATGGGTCATCCCATGACATTAAAGTTTGCGAGTTACTTGAGTAAGAAAAGAATGGGATTTAAATAGGATGCGGCAAAGCCATTGACACAAAAGAAAACAGAATGATAATCCATAAGGAACAAAGAATTCATTAAAACGGCCTAGAGCTTTTGGAAAAAGAAACCATTCTCTCCAACTCTCCTACACCATTACCAACTGAGAAGAGCTATGATTTTTGACGAAATTTGTATTGCTATGCTGTCATTTACTCTATTAGTTTACTCTGGTTAGCTTGTTAGTGTTTCAATCACTTCGCATAATATATGTCAATTCTAGAATGTATGTTTTCTTTACTCTTAGTTTCATCAGTCATTGTATATGACTACATATTCTGCCCCGAAAGAAAATATTTAGCATGTTTTTCCAGTTACAATTTTACATCAAGGACCATTTCATGCGTGGAGATATTTAATTGTTTTCTATTTTCCCCGGAATAGAAAACCATGCAAATCTTTTAATCGGAGCAAGAAGAGCCTAATGGATGATCCGTTCATGTGATCCAAGAGCTTTCAGAAATAGTGGTTGATCGCGAGGCACGACTTAAAGATCGTTAAAATAAGAGCGGCAAATAGTCCTAAAATTCGAAAGAAAAATTGAGAAATGAAAGAGGAAAAAACTCACAAAACCTGATTGTACTAGTCGTTTTATCTGCACTTATTGTATTAAACTTGTTATGTATGGCAAAACGAAAAGTACTCCCGCTGCGCTGCCTAAGAGTATTTGTTTCGTTTCTTATACAGTTAACTATTCATTTTTGTCAGCACTTCAAACCAATAAAAAACCAGCAATAAGAAACACTATTCCACACCTGTATACCCTTCACATCTTGGGACCTCTACACTAACACCAGCAAAACCCAGTAATATGCCAGCGAAAATCAGCAAAAAACAGCAAAAGCCAGTACCCATATTCTGAAGTACACCATTGCACCAGCAAATTCCCAAAAGCTCTAGGCCGTTTAGAATGAAAGAAAATTCAGCATCTGCTTTGCTGAAGGTGGAAGATAATAGATAATAGGGAAACTTAGGGGAAAGTCGCGTGCTTATCACGTTTTTTGTGGGTGTCGTTAGTTTTTGACAGAAGCTAACAAGAAGGATGAATCTTGCAACTAGTTGAATAGTACAAGGATGTTTTTTATTCACTAGGTAAGACAAGGATGTACCTTAGGTTTGGGTAATAGTTGAGAGATGCTTTTAGCCAAAACCTCAAACTAGGAAGTAGGAATAAATAACCTTAGGTTTCAATATTTGTTGGATGCCATATGTAAATGAAAAGAATTACTGGTGTGAAAGTAAAGCTAGAGAAGCATAACAAGAACTTACGACAAGTAACTCATGAAGGCCAAGAGGTGCTGTAATGACATATGATACTCCTGGATGTTCTTTTGCAGCTTCAGCCGTTAAAGAAGGAATATCCTGAAAAGGGAAAGGTATCAGGTCAAGACCTAGCATAATACATCAAAGGAAATTCTAGATAACCTAGCACAACTTTAGAATACATGAGGCGAACAATACCTGGTTCCAGTGTCGTCCAGGAGAAAGGAAAAATGGGCTCACAATTACTCTACGTGCTCCTCGTTGAACACACAAACTAAATGCATCTCGGATCGATGGTTCTGCTAGCTCCTAAGTTGTCATAAAAGAGATGCGGAGGAAAAATGAGAGCTCCAACCTTTCAAAAAGATTAAATAGAAGGGAGAGCTTAAGGCTGTGTTTGCTACTAAGTATTCATCAAGGAAAAGAAAACAAATTCATTAGAAATCTATAGTTTTGTACTATGTGGCTAGGGAAAACATTAGGATTCTCTTATTCCTACCACATTCTTACTCCTATCACCACTTCTTCACCAACCCTAAAGAGATCCCTCTATCCTTTCATTCTCAAAAATCTTTGCTTTGCTAGGTTTTCGCACGAGATATATTCTAAAATTTTCTTATACAAAGATTTGATATCATTTTTGTTTCTCTAAAAAGATATACTTTTGATTTTATATTTTTCTTTGCCTTAGCCTTAACATCAAAACATACTTCAAAATTCCTCATTTCTTATCCTTTTCCACTGCATTTTTCTTTCCTCATCTGTTTTCTAATTCCAAACAAACAGCGTGTAAAAAACAAAAGCAATCAGCTAAGGCATCAGGAATGGAACAATGAACAAACAGCAAGGTCCACAACCCTAATCATACAAAGAGGGAGGGATAAAATCGTTCTTACCATGTGTGCAGGCTCTACAATTGGGTATTTTGTTCTCTCCCTAAACATTGCTACAAATTCATCTGACATTTATCATCAAAATTACAACTATAAGCAAACTCAGAATAAACCAGTATCAAAATTGAAAAGTGTGAAAGGTGCCAGAAACTAACTTAGCATAAGATTGGACTCCTTTCTGCGGGAACCATGATCCACAATTATAACTCCATCGCCTTCTTCTATCCCGTTCAACCCCTCCCTATTTGCAGTGGCCATACAATACCTTTGTGGTAAATATCTGGACTTTGAAGGACCTTTATGCAATTTTACAAATTCAGGAACTGCACTTCTTGGTTTTCTTGCTGGGTATGTACTGATTGAGCTTTCATCGTTTCAACACCACAAAAGAATATCAATTACTCAGTCGAATTTCCAATTAAAAGTATCTTTGAAACTAAGTACTATCAAGAATTAAACTTTATGATAATTAAAACATGAAGAATCTGTTATAAGAAAACACAAGAGAACTACAAATTACCTCCTCAAACTGAGATGAGATTGTAAAGACAACGAGTCCATTAACTCTTCTAACACCGTTCGGATTATTCTTCCATTTCCGTTTTCCACTACTTGAAGATAACAACGATTGTGGCTTGTAGAAACCCAACTTAATAGCACGGATTGAATACCAGCATTTGTGAAAAAATCATTTAAAAATAATCATTATTTTATGCGGACGTTTAGACAAAAATACCCTACCTAGCTGGAACTTTTAAAAAGGTTGGATATGGAATTTGTGTATTATGAAATTGTAGCACATTATACTCGAATCTTATATGTAAAATTGAACTTCACTATATTATGTTAAAAAGTTTCAGGATTTTTAGTGGCATTTTTGTTCATATTATATTTTACATGAAAAAATATTAAATTTTGATACTTTTAAATAGGGGTGTTCATAAAAATCCGAAAAACCAAACCAAACCGACCAAAAAACCGATACTTTTTGCTTTGGTTTGGTTTGGTTTTGGTTTTGAATTTTAAAAACCGATCAAATTTGGTTTGGTTTTGGTTTTAATAAGAAAAAAACCGAAAAAATCGAACCAAACCGACTATAGGAGTAGCTATTTCAAATTTATTATTACACCTATATATATATATATGTATATTTTTATACAAAGTTTCAAAATTTTTATGGTATGTTAATTATTTTCACTTTTAGTATAGTTCTTTACATTCTAGTTTGATTGGTAGTTTTCTTTTGTTACGTGTAAGAATCCATTTCGTGTTAAAAATAATATATTTTTAATTGAGTCCATAAATCATTCATCACTATTTGATTCAATTATCACCAATATATCTTGGTAAATAATAGATTTTTCAAAGGGCAATTGATTTGATAGTGTTACGTTGAAAATGTGGTCGCCGGAATATGTGTTTGGTAGAGTATGTCTTATATTTAAGAAAAAACCGATAAATAACCGAAAAAAACCGAAAAACCGACAAAACCCGACATAAACCGAATCGAGAAAAAATCGACTTAAATGGTTTAGTTTGGTTCTAATATTTGAAAAACCGACTTACTTAGTTTCGTTTCTTTTTAGGGAAAAACCGATCCAAATCGAACCATGAACACCCCTATTTTAAAACTATGAGTAATTTTGAATTAGCAATTATAAATCAGGTTAGTTTTGAGTTTTTTCCCAACTTAATCAAGAAACCTTGATTA